TAGGTTGGAGTGCGGGAAACTCCAACGAGCTAAACCGAGTCGTATCGCTTGAGCCCACCATGGTGAAGGTGGCAGAAAAGTGGGACATTCGATGACTAAAAGCGTGAACGTACAACGTCTTCACCACGGACGGCGCCAACTGTCGGTGCAGAAAGTGACCAACACGTAAATATTTATAGTTTTGTTGTACGTTGTGATCGGATGTGGCCTAGCACTCAATGACATATGGTTTATACTAGTTCAGGCAATGTGCCCTACGTCCAGTTCAAGTCAGTTGGTGACTTTATTCATGAGCCTAGGTGCTCGAAGTTTGCTGTGGGGTTACAAACAGAAGGGAGAAAGATGGGGGGTGCAAGAGACCCGGTCGGACTCTGGTCTGAAGGGCCGAGAGTGACGGGAGCTCCTACGTGCGCTGAGTGTTTGAGCGTGTGCTCGAGGTTTGAACCTAGTGGTTCTGCTATTTTGTGTGAGTGAACTCTGGGATCCCTCTGTTGGGAGAGAGCGCATCCCCTTTTATAGATGAAGGGGACGACCTTACAAGCGAGAGAGAGAGAGTACGTATGCTACTAAGTCTTGTTGTTCACGCCGTCGGGTACAAGATGATGGTAGGCGCCCATAACACTGTTGTTGTTGTCAGAAGCATGTGGGAGGTCTTACCGTATTCACCATGTATGGTAAATGACGGCGCCCACAACACTGTTGATGCCCAGAGGCATGTGGGGGAGTCTTACCGCGTTTATCTGGTATGGGAGTTGATGGCGCCCACAACACTGTAAGGCAAATGTCGACGCCCACAACACTACTTGGGTTCTGGCATGCTTGGAAGGTTGCAGGGCACCCTTCTAACTTGTCCTATCAGTTACCGTCCGCAGGTGTACAAGATACGGTCCATGGTATTGCGGTCGACTCAAGTGCCCTGCCTTACTTGCCCCATCCCTTTCCTGGTCCTCACCGAGCAGGCGTCCCCGGTCGGTTGGTCCCAGTCGGCTCTGACTGCGCCAGTAGAAGAAGAGCTGTAAATAGGGGTTCGGTGCATCATTGGTCAGAGACGCGGGTCGGAGTCAGAAGCGGTGTTTGGCCAGGCTTTTTGGTTGGAGAGGCAGGCCGGAGTCGGAAGCGAGCGCTGTTCTTCCTTGGCCATGCCTTCGGTCGGAGATTGGATCGTTCTTCTGGCCTGTCGTTTAGGTATTTGGGCCGGCCCAGGAGTTGCGCGTCGTTCATAACATCGTCTGCTGGGCCGAGCCTTTGCTGGGAAGCCGGTCCATCAGGGACCCCGGGTCTATGAACCTGCCAAGAAGAAAACAAAGAAACATCAGCACACACATGGATATTTGCTCCTGTATCAACCCACCAATTAGGTGAATGACAAACTGAAAGAACAGTAGGCAATAAATTATCGTACCTCGTTCCTGCATCAGTCTCAACTGTGTTTGCTGTTTTCTTGTTTGGCTTTCACTTGGCCTCCTCGCACTCTCTAGCATAGTGCCCAGGCTTGCGACAAGTGAAACAATTTTCCTTCTTGTTCTTCTTATTCTTCTTAAAAGGAGTTGTGGACTTTTGTTTGAGTTCTTAGTAGAATTTTTTCTTGTGGGATTTGGGAGGATTTTTCTGCACCACATGGGCAGTAGAACTCCCCTCACCAATTTTTTTGCCACAAACGTCCTTTGCTCTTGCTTTCTCTTCAACATCCAAAGAGCCAATGAGCTCGGCAATGCCAAACTCCTGTCTCTTATGTTTCAGAGAAGTAGCAAAATCTGTCCAAGCCTGTGGCAGCTTAGCAATGATACAACCTGCCACAAACTTATCAGGTAACACACAACCAAAAATTTCGAGCTCTTTTGTCAGTGTTTGTATCTCATGAGCTTGTTCCACTACAGAACGGCCATCGACCATCTTGTAGTCATGAAACTACTCCATGACATACAACTCAGAACCAGCATCAGAAACCCTATATTTGGCCTCAAGTGCGTCCCACATCTCTTTACCAGTCTGTAGCGGCACATATGCATCAACTATGGTGTCTCTAAGCACGCTCAAAATTGCAGCCTTGAACGTAGTATCAGCATGTTTGAACGCACGCTCCTCATCAGGAGTATGCGGCCCAACAGCCCTAGGTCCAGCAACAAAATAGCAGTGCATAGAAGTCAACCATAGAATGCATCTCTGCCGCCACCTCTTGATACTCGCAAAGCCAATTACCGAAAATTGCCTATCACGTTTTTGGATTGTTATATATTTAGACATTTCCAATAGCAATTTAATCCAAAAATAGCGATAACCAAAAGGTTTATGACAATACGTGCTTGTGTGAACTAAGCATGAGTACCATGTATATGATACTAACCAGCAAGTTATTGATACATGACCTTACTGGATAGCGAAGAACAGAGACATACCCAACGGCAGAGCCGGATGTACTTGTCGATATAGTGTCTGTCGGTGTAGTCGTTCCGCTTGTTGCAGTGCATACGGAAAGCAGTGCCGATCACCGGAGGGCCTTCAACGTACGCCGGCGTCGGGAAGAAGGGGACGTAGACGTAGCGAGTAGTCGTGCTGCCAACGACACTCCCCAAAAACGTGATTATCGTCCTTTACCTGAGCAGGTGAACTCGAAGACGGTAGGAGTTTTGGAGGCCCTACTCTTCTAGTTTTAGTGCGTGTAGGAACCGGGACGGAAAGAACAAGAGAGCAGCTGTGTATATTTTGGGTGTCAGAACCTGCATCAGGTGCGGCGGCCGATTTCAGCGCCGCAGTTGCGCGCGGCCACACGTTCGGCGCAGTGGCTTCTGGACACCGTCGGAACGCGCCGCTGCCGGTATGAACAGTATCGCTGGCTGTAGAATGTGCCGATGACTGCTGCGGTGAATGTGAATGTGATGCCATGTCGTGTCGTTGGTCAGCGACAGATTGGATGCGAGATCCAGATCACGTGACCGGTACCCGTCGCCCGTCGGTACTGGTACGGTGCCTGCCGCCTGCCGGGTGCCGGTCCTGGGCACCATGGAAGGGTCGCTTCTTGTCCACTAGTACGCACCAGTCGCATCGTCCACGTTGTTTAGTTTCAAAAAATTTCACCCAGAGTGTCATATCGAATCTTGCAGCATATACGTGGAGTACTAAATGTAGATAAAAAAAATTAATTACATAGTTAGTTAAGAAACCGTGAGATAAAACTTTCAAACCTAATTAGTCCATAATTAGACACTAATTATCAAATACAAACGAAAGTGCTACGGTAGCCCAAACCAAAAAATTTCGCCAACTAATCGCGCCCTAAAGTCCTTCGTATACCAGTAGTAACTTCATTGTTATTACTGCTGCTTCAACGAGTGCCTGCTGCTTAGTTTCATTTGCACGGTTCTGCAGCACTGTGTTTAGCCGCTGCACTCCCCTATTCAAGTACAGTACAGTGTCATCTACTACCATCAGTTGCATCTACAGCTCGTACCGTGCAATAACACTATGACACTTACACAGCCATCAGTAGGGGAGTGCAGAAATGGTAGCAGCTGCTTATATTGATTTGTTATGAGAGAAAAACGTTGTTCGTTCACTCTGAAATAGTGCTAAAGAACAGTCGACAAATTAGGAGCAAATAATTAGTGCCATGTTCGTTTAGCTGATAAGCTATGACTGAAAATACTGTTGACTGATTTGTTAGAAAAAAAAAATAATGTTCGTTGACGAAAAAAATACGGCTTATAAGTCGAGCGAACATGACGCAGATCCACGAAGCCTGGCACGGATACCAAACTTGTGCAGTTGGGCTGTACAGTACACAGTACAGCTCTACAGCACATTTCGGCAGGTTACATACATTCCAGACAAGATGCAGCATGCAAGGCCTACGGCTACCGAGAAGGGCAAAAATGGGGCAGCAAGGCTGCCTCCAACGGATGATGTATATAGACATCCAAATCTAAAATGAATTTTGAATGATATTGAATTAGTTTATAACAGAGTATCTATATAGGAGATCTTTTTTTATTCGAAGAAAAGAGAGGCTCTTTTATTGCTCATTGATCATGTTACAATCTTGAGCAATGATTTGCTCGATACAAAACTGGAACCACACTGCGCCAAACAGCCGAACTGTTCAATCTCAACGCCAATTGTGCGAGCTCATGTGCAGCGCGATTTCACTCTCTCGTGTGAACAACATTCCACTCAGAAATCAAACTTCCGACCTGTCTCGCCTCCTCGCTACTAGGCATAATGGTCCTGGATCCCTAAATATTATCCTCTCTTCTAAAGATTTATTTACAATAAGGGTTCTATCTAAATATGAAATGAGTCTTGTATTTTGGGTGATATTGGAGATAGTCTAACCTTGGCCCTGTTCATTTCTCTTATAATCCGTCTTTTTCAGCTGTTTTTTTAGCCGGAACGATGTTTTTCTCTAACAACAAATCAGCCGGAACAATATTTCGCCTTATTTTTTCAGCACGGGGCAATGCCATGTCAAGCACCATGCAGATGCAGATCGATCAGACGATCAGTAAAGCTGACACACACAGCTCTCCTCGCCCTGTCAACAAAAGCTACGCCCGGGAAAAGCCCAGACAGATGCATCTCTTTACAAAGCCAAGTGCCGGTGGACGGTGGTGGAATTTACAGGTCCACCCGACAGCGTCATCATCCCAGATGACTGGCGCCTTAGCACGCGTTTGCGCCCACTGTGCTCAGGAGAACGAGCTGTTCGTTTAAACACAGCAAAATTGCAAGCTCTGAACAAAAGGTGCCCTTGCTGTTTCACCTTTCAGGCATGCTTATCATACCTGAAGGTAGAACACAAGACAGGATGAACCCTTTGTACTTCAGAAAGCACAATTTTGCGCAGCTCACACACTAACCACATTGGATCAAACACACTAGCTACGCGCCGATGCAAATCACAAGACCATATTTCGTTTCTACCTTTCCTCTCAAACAACGGGCAACTAAACTACATTTTCAAACAGGAGAAAATAAGTTAATTAAAACCAAAGAATTGCAGTTCATCAGCCAATCGCCTTCTCCTCGGAGAACCTGGGAAGCTGCACGAGCGAGTTCACCCGCGTCACTCCATCAAGGCCCGACCAATTCTGATCGTGGGCTGCGCCGGCGACAACAGCATCTATCGCCCCCGACAGTGCCTTCTCATGGGCGCTTCCGGCTACTGTCCTGACCGTGAAGTTGCGGGTCAGCGCTGGCTCCTGCTCCTGAGCTTCATTTGGGTCTGCGACTGAACCTTCGTCGAGGCTGATGTTGTCCATGGAGGCCGTCGAGTCACGTTCATGGTCCATTTTGCCATCCAAATATAGGCAAACCACTGCACAGTCATCGATCTTTGATGTCGGGTACTTGGTTTTCCATTCACGAGCAGCGGCCTCGACAAGGGATTTTGCAGCCTTTGATCGGCTTGGGGATGATGCCACAATGTCAACAGCCTCCTGGTTGCTAAGGACATCCCACACCTGCATGATTTGCATTAGCATTAGATATATAGAAGTACAATTCTGCCAAGTGGCAGCGCATCTTATATAATTTCGTTAAGTACAACTACATAGAAACAGGGGAAATGAGCCAAACAAGAGAAGACGGAAGGACAAACATAAGATTAAAAAACGCATCCATAAGCGGACCAATAAAAACACTCTTGCTGATTCCACACGAATGCTCTTTAACTTTTTTTTTAAAAAAAAACATAGATGCTAAAAGGAGCTAAAGTAGCATGCTTTGAAAATTGCTAAGAAAACAGTGGCAAAAGGTAAAACCAACTACGCAGACAGTGACTTAACAATCGACCCAACGGGTCGTCCATTAAAGGAATGTTTGAAATGTGATAGAGAAGTCCATTACATATGGAAAAATAAACTATCTTCACCAACCACAATCATTTCAACAAAGGGCTCAAAGTTCTACCAGGACAAAATCTCACTTTTGATAGTATAAGTTATTTAGGCAAATGTAGTGTGGGCGCACTAATCAAAAGAGTGTTCAAGCGAGGATGTATGGATCAAAAGGAGAATTTTGAGCCAGTACATTACTGGTAAGTGATAATCAGTTTCATTAAAACAACTGGTATGGTTAAATACTTCACTCTTAATTTTGATTGGTTCCTGAACTATATAACAGCGACATACTGACCTGTGATAAATAAGTTGTCCAAAGAAAGAATATCAGTCTTTCAATGACAGAAAATTGTGCAAGGTCCGCCTACTACTCACAGATCCACATCGTTCAGATGCAAATATCATCAACAGGGAAGCAAGTTACTAGACAATGAGAATCTTAATTTCCCCTAATGCATTGAAGAGCCCTTGATAATTTTAATTTTATCTAATGCAATGAAGAGTCCCTAGCCACAGGCTCTATGTCCAAATTGTTCGAGTAGGAAGGTGCACCTGAACAAATGATTAAACCAATGGGTCCTCTCAAGTTGAACGTGGAGAAGATTTAACAGCTGAAGGACAGCAGATAACAACAGGCCGTGACGGTGCAATGGAGAAGGGTGTTAAGCTGGCTAATCATTATCTATGCAGCAGGCAGGAAGGGGACCCTTGGCAGAAATTATTATCCTTGCACCTGCCATGATGACAGTTTATCAACCGACCCCTAAAAGCTAAAACATTTTGAAGTCCAAAGACTGGATCACTTGTAGGTATGATCACGAATTCTCTTTTAGCTCCTATGAAATGCACGGGACATTCTGGACCCTGAAGGCCCACCATGTGCGGCTACTTAGAGCACGAATGCGAAAGTGCCGCAGATTGACATTACATTGCAACTAATCATGTTATGATGAAAGCTAACGGCAAGATTTTGCTGGGGGCAGAGATACTCTCAAATTCATATCTGTGCAAGTGCAAATATCCAGAACGAACAGAGAACAATAAAGTGGAGCACTTGGTAGAGAAAATTACCCCATCTGATGCAAGGATGACGAACTGGTCCTTCTCTGTGAGCGACCAATGGAAGAACTCTGGAACCGAAATGACACCATAATCCTTGAGGCAGAAGTCACCAAACGCCCGGGCCATTGCCAGGCCTGGCGCGTCGTCGAACGGCAGCCAGACCCGCGGCACCTCCGGTTCGTCCTGCAGAGCAAATACCCTGCCCCTGCACTTCTTGATCCGTTCTGCCTCGCCTGAAATGACAGAAGGTAGCATTAACACTCAAATTCCTAACACGGCACCACATCCATAAATCTGAAATAATGGAGGAGGGAGAATATGGAGGCCTACTGGGAACATCCGGTTTGAGGTCAACAGTCAGTTGCACGGCTACCATGCCGCCACCGCCGCCACTGTCCCTCGAGCCTAGCACGGCGCGTGAGTCACCAATGTTGGCCATGTAGAGATCCGAGCCCTGCGTGCAGAAACCGCTCGTCAGTGGGCTGTGTACAGCTGAACGCATACATCCCAACAGAATTGATTTGACATATGTTTCTGCGAGGAAGGATGAATCGATGGATAGCAGACTCGCGTCAAGTCCGGTGGCACGTACGAGCTTGAGGACGGTGACGGCGGTGCTGCCGCTGCAGAAGCAATCTAGGATGGCGTGGGAGCGAAGATCCTTGTCCATGGCCTTGTAGGTGCTCGCAAAGGCCTTCCTCCACGCGGCGGCGGGCATGTCCAAGCCAGCCTTGGACGCGCGCACCGCGGACATGAGCTTCAGCGGCAGCGCATCGCGGACCCTGCGCGCCACTAGGTGGCCGTGCGGGCCGTGCCCGTCGAACACCCCACACAGCACGACGTCGTCCTCCCCGCCGAACCCCTGCCAAGGCGACAGACACTCCACCAACATTACCACCTGTCCACCACCATCTCGGTGGAACAAATTGACGGCGGGAGGAACAGGAGAGAGAGAGAGAGAGAGAGAGAGAGAGAGAGAGAGAGATGGGAGGCGAGAGATTCGGTGGTTTACATCCCAGACGAGCATGGCGTCCTGATTGATCCCCTTACGCCCCTGCTGCGTGAACACGGCGGCGGTGCGGCTGCGGCCGTCGTTGGAGAAGATCCGGCCGGGGACCGAACCGAGCTGCTCCTCCCGCGGCGCCTTCCACCTCCTCCCCCGCCGCCTCCCGTCCTCCCCTGCAGCACCGGCCGCCGTGACCGTCGTCGTGCCCCCGCTCGCCACGCAGTTCCCCATCGATCACGCCTCCGATATCCCTCCTCTTCCAATGCCGCGCTGGCCCGGCAAGTAGACGCCGGACAGAAACACCCGCACGGAGACCAAAGATGCCGCCGCCGCCGCCGCGCGCAAGAGGGATGAGGATTCCCTCTCGGGTGGTCAGGTCAGGTGTGGAGTGGAGAGAAGAGGAATCGCAGATCAGCAGCACCGCTCAAACGCAACGTGAAAAGTCAAGGCGGGTCCCTGGATGAGAGGGAGGTGAGAACGGAGGAAGAGAGAGAGAGAGAGAGAGAGAGAGAGGAGAGAGGCGAGTTTATTTATTGCGGGAGCGGGCGAGCGGGCGCAGCGGCACGGCAGTGACGCACGCACGCAGAGGCAGAGGCAGTGAGGGTGAGGCAAGACAGCTCCGAGTCACGGAGAAAGAAGACGACGCTGGGGACTGGGGGGCTGGGGCTCTCGGGGTCGGGGACGGCGGGCGCGGGAGGAGATCAGGAGAGGGACGCGAGGGGCTCAGCGCCCGACGAGCTGCCCGTGCCACGCCGTTGCTTGTCGCTCGCTGGTGTTGTGGTCCGGTCGTTGGCGCTGCTGGATTACTGTGACTCCGGATTGATTACTGGATTAATTGTGCGGTTGGCTACGAGCGACTTGTTTACTTGTGCAGCGGGACGTTTACCAGCTGCCGGGTCAGGGTCACGCACTGCGAGGAATAAACAAGCGGCGAGCAGGGGCGACCGCCGACCGGGTCCGCTGGGGCGCGGACGTGGCTCCAGCGGTCGGAGCGGGGAGGAGCCCAATAACGGACGGTTTACGCTCATCTCAAGTCTTTGTTGACCCGATTTGAAGCGAAAGTGATGCAACTAGTAGTTAGTTACAAAATATACTTGTCACATAAAACCCGTTGAATTATCATAGAAGTTCTGCACACGCTGATCTTAGGAGTATTCATTCAAGTGGACTGAAAATTGCGCCTTTCATCGATCATGGATGTGAACATATTTCGTTCAGTCGTTGCGCTCACGGGAACACTGAGAGAGGTTAGGAAAGAGGGGGCACACGAGCTGACGAGAGCCTCTTCTTGTGTTTGGGGAGTTTTATGGTTTAAATTCAACTTTTTATTTTTATCTGATGGACCCCTTCGGAATTTTTTGAATACTTGAGAGCATAGAGCTTTCTTTTCGTGTCTTCTTTCTTTTCAATAACCCTTTTTCATCAATTTTCTTTTAATTGCTCCATTATGTCTCCTTTTGGAAGGGATTTGAGGGGAATTTGTTGAACATGGATAGAATTTGACTAGAACGACATTTGCCTGGAAAGACCATATTTATGAAGGAAAATATAAGGTTTTCGTCGAATGTCATGTGACAGTGGAACTTGCGGGTGCAGACAGGTGGAGTCTGATCGCAACACATAGGCCGTGCATGGGTTTCGCAATCTATCCACCCAAAACTCAATTTAATCCGCGAAGACGAGTCACGTATGGATTGGGTGGATATGGATTCGGTCCATAAAATCCATGGGTTGACATGCCATCGTTGTGGCACATGAGAAGAGCTCAGAAAGCGTGCCACATGTCTCCAGCAGCAATGTTGCAGTAGATGAACTGCTCAATGATGTAGGACACAACCAATAACCAGAGAAACACGACGAGTGGCACAATCTCCACGGTGGTGGCGGCAGCGCCGCTTGCCTCACCCTCATCCGCGCGAGGAGCAGCATGTGCGCTAGCTGCGCGAGGTGGAAACAGGACTCGAGGTTGTATTGGGAACTCTATCATTTCTCCTTTTCTGCCCCATGTCCTTCCACCTCCAGACCCGTCTATTGGATACACACACGCGTATCTAACCGCCTGATTGGATCGATTTCCAAATGCGGAAAGATTAGGAGTTGACTGTTGAGATAATGAGTTGTTGGAGAGATTTCTTTTATGCATGAAAGGATATAAAGAAACTATTGAGTTGCTGTAATAGTTTTCTATTAATGCGGCTATTAGTATTAGTTGTTGAGCCATCTTGGGATCCTTCATCTAACAGCTAGCGGTGCTTATTTTGTGTAAGCCAATTACTAGTTTTCTTTATTTAGTTAGGTAGTTTGTTTTGAGCCAGTATCTGGATGTGTCCGTTTGTATACACGAGCTAATTGCTTCCTATCTAAAGATTAGCTCTAGTGCACCCAAACAGGAGGGTTAATAGGCGAACTAATTTTTTAGCGAAGCCTTCACCTATTTGTTTGCCAATCTCAGCTAATTAATTTGAGCTAATTTTTAGCTCAACTAGTAACTAGCTGTAGCTTATCAAAGAGGCCTTAATATTTGCTAGGATGTTTGGATCTATTTAGTACTAATTTTAGTTGTTAATATTGATACTAATTGACCCAAACAACCCAAGTCACATCAATTTAGCAAAACTGAAATTCTTATCCTCTTTTGCATAAACAACCTCTAGCACTTAAATTCCTGTGGAAGTATTTTATCCGACTTGATCCGACGGCGCGGCGCAAAAGAACGGCACGGGTGCGCTGCTGCCAATTTTTTTCTAAAAGAAGAAAGTAACATGTAACGTATCTAAATCCAAAAGGAGATACTATTACTCTACAAGTCTCCAACCCTGTAAAGGAGCCTTGTACTACAAGTTCCTTAGAAAATCTCAGCAAAATCGACCAACCAAATCCGTTGCCCAGTGCAAGGAAGGCTCGTCAACCTCAAGCCGGCGCGTCATCGCGTGCGCACGCATGGCCATGGCCCATGGACGCCGCTCGCACTAATTGCTCGGTCGCTCGTTCCTTCGTCTCCGGCCCGTCTCCGGCTTTCTGCGCCTGCGACCTGCACGTATCTTCCCGCCTTCGTACCGCCGGCGCTTTATGATGGGTCCGAATACACCTGCCCATTCACAATTTGAGCTCGAGCCGATGATGCTTTCGCTTCGAGTTCCGGCGGGGCCCCCAGCGAGCGGCCGGCGATCACATCCCATGATCGCGCCCACTTGCCGCCGGCTTGCCGCAGCATCCATCCATCTCCTGATGAATGCCCAACTACCCCCTCCCCCCTGGCCGTGGACCATCCGCGTGCGTTGGGTCGGAATCGGATCGATCATTAGGCAGCCGAGCGAGGGAAGAAAGGGGTGCGCACGCCCGGGCGGCGATTGATCACTCATTAGCCGCATCCTAAGTGCCCCCACTAAACGCTAAGCGCGGCGCGGCGCGGCGCATGGACATTTTCTGTTGTCGCGAACAAGAGGAACGGCAGCCGGGCCTGTAGCGTAGCATCGAGGTGACGTCGGGTGCGGCCTACCTCTCCAGGTTGCTCGACCGCGTGCAATTGACCACGACGCGGTGCGCTGGCATTTGGCAGATCGACACGATGGTTTTTGCATAGGCTTGCAGTTCGGTCGTCGAGTCCAACACGGTACGTGTGGATTGCCAGAAACATGCATGTACTTGATTGGCACTCAAGTATACTTATGACCTGTAAAAAAATGAGAGTGGAAGACGTGGCTGTGCCTAACTATCTGGTAATCGTTGCTTCAGTGACCTATCTCTACCTGTCACGTTGCGTATGAACAACCTTTTCCAGGAGATGTTTGTGTTCCATGAGAAAAAGAAAGAAATGAAGCTCTAACTGGGGCCGGAAAGCCCAAGTCTCAGAGTGGACTGCTGGCCCAGCAGTAGTTTTCTGCGACGGGCTTTTACAGCCCGAAACACCCCTTTCGGATTGGAGCATCTGTATCAGGAGTGGGCTCATACGTAGAATTATATTTCTGACGGGCCGTTATGGAGTTCCAGATTAGGCCCAACGTGGGCTGGATTACCTTTTCATCCTCATCGTCAATTCCGTCCGTCTCCATTCCTGCACGAGGTAGCTACTAATAAACTCGTATACGCGACAGCTACCGGGCCGCGGCCGATCCAGGGCGCGGCAGCCAGGCGACCGAGCCGTTGCACTCCGCTTTCCCCACCGCGGCCGCCCTGCCCAAGATGGCAAGCCCGGGCCCACCGTGGGACCGGCCGATCGTTGCCTAGTGGCTGCAAACCTAGCTAGCTTCGATTCGCCTGCCCCTGAATGGAAACGGCGCAGCTAGCGCGCCGCGCACGCGAGATTGGCCTGGTTAGCCTTTGTCAAACAGGGATCGGACGGATAGCTATTAGATTAGTGCGTGATTAGCCGTCGCTTTTACGTTTTCGCTCGACACATCAACGGCAGAGCCAGCCGCAGTGTGCTGTGCTTATCGCCGGTTTGACTCTTGGATCAGGTGCACACAGAATAACAATATACCACTCCATCAGTGGATCGCTGTAACGGCTGAGTCTCGACTGATCCGACTTTGGCGGCACACGCGGGACAGACGATACCGTGAAGTAACCCTGTGGTTGGCCCGATTAGGAGCACGGTGTGTTATCCTCGACCGCCATCGAAAGCGACCGTACCCATGTATAGTATCAAGTTACCACGACGACTTCAGGATAATTTTGCCACTACTTCTTCAGCTCGTCGCCGATTAGCCTGAGGAACACGTAACCTGTAATCAATTATCCTTAATCTTCACAGCTCACCATGGTCACACCGAATAAAGATGAGAAAATTTACTATTTGACACTAGAAAAAGTTGTGTTCTTCTATTTGACATCCAAACTTGAAATATTTCTTATTTGTCCACTCTGTTATTTTTTTTCCTATATGACACTTCCGTTAGGTCTGTTGGCATGCACCGTGAGACCTTCTCCTCGGAGGATGTGGAAAGGCCAAAATGCCCTTTGAGAAAATAAAGGTAGACAAAGAAAATGGGCTAGCCAGTTTCCGCCTCCGACCCTAGATCGAGCTAGGATGGAGGAGACTCCTCTGGGAGCACAGCCACCCCGAGCGAGGGTGCAACTGCCCAGCGCGGGGTTGCAGCCACCCGGCGCGGGGGCACGTCCTCATGGAGTGGGGGCGCGGCAGCACGCCTAGGGCCGGCCGATCAGACCGGCTTGTTCAGGTCAGTTCAAAATAGTAGTTAAATTTATAGTTTTTAGGATTAAATGTACAT